TATACACATTTTAGTGCAGGCACATCCACTTCTCAGCCCAGATATTCCCCGTAATTTTCAGGCCCGGCGACCAATGGTCAAGCATATTGTCCACCACAGTATCCCATGCCGTACGGGAGTAGTACACAACCCACTTAGGGATTAGATGAGTTTGTAGATAGGTACAGGCCTGGTTATCCACACACTTATATGGCCACCCCTATAACATATTCAGTCAGCTTGTGATCTTGAGAAAGAGTTTAGTTAATAGAATTATATTCGTTAACCCATTTGCCGATAACCCATTTAGCGTCTCCCTTTTTAACGTGTGCCCTCATCCTCCACGGACAATCATTGTTGTTTTCACATACCATGATTAATCTTTTGGTATCACTTTTTTCTACAACGGCCGTGTGATACTCCGCCATACAAAATTGCTTTATTGCCATCTGCACATCATGCTTGTTCTCAAACACTTGGTCCTTATACAGCTCCTGACCTATTTGCCAGTTAGGTATTTGTGCTTCCTCTATTGCAAACAACTCCTGATCTGGGTGTGCCCAATTAATATGTGTGTAATGACTTATTTCAGACCAAAATGGAACACTATTGTCTCTTGTATAAAAACACATGTGTAGAAATGAACCAACATATGTAGTTGCATAATCATATTCAACATGTGTAGTCATTTAGAGTTACTAACCTGCCATTGGTGGGTCGTGCATTCCGACAATGCTCGGTGAAGGAATCAGATGACACTCTGCGGTAAATGGACATGAATTAAAATTGCCCTCGATGTCGGTGTCAGATAAGTCACTTTCCAGAGCAACACCTTCATCCGCCTTTTCCTCGGAGCTGTCCGTATGTTGAGTTGGATTATAATCATCTTGGGGAGGAAGCATTTCAAACGACATTGGGGGGGGGGGGTAGGGGAGGTGGAGTGACACAGATCTATCTTCAGGATTCACCAATGGCTCCCTATTAAGGTTGATGAAGTGAATGGAAGGGAGAGAATGTTGACAGCTAGACTATCCACTGGGGTCTACTTCTACATACAGTTCAATAAAAGTGGACTCATGATCATGTTGAAATGCATCTACTACTAATGCAACATTTTCATCCTCAACAATCTCCACAAGATCCCAACTCTCTTTACCTGAGGCGTATCTAGCAGTCAATTGAGACAGAGATTGACCCTGTTGTAATCTCAACTTCTTGTATATTATCTTCTTCAGATCATTATAACAACATTGAGGGCTCATGTGAAATATTTTCGTATCTTCTTCAAAAATTTGACCATTAGGACCAAAATATCTCCTCTCATTGTAGTATACAATGACAATTATTGAATCATTCTCATCACTCGTTTTGAAAAAAATTTGAAAATAAGTATAAAAGAGAAGAAATAACATTAACGAGAAAGAACTTTTTTATATGCAACGTGTATAGATAACACAGGTGAGGATTCTAAAATTTTTGCTTGTTGAGATGGGTTTATATTAAACCAAAGTTGCTGAAAAGAGTAGAGACTATATTGCATTATAGTCTCTACCCTGTCCAGAATCTTTGGCCATGTGTCAGATAGCAGACCATAGTCTCTACCCTATCTAGCATCTTTGGCCATGTGTCAGACACGCAGCTGACATGCAAATGACTATAGTCTCTGTCCATACCAGCAACTTTGGTCCAGTGTCTTTCACGTGTCAGGCTCGCTGCATGAAAAGGTTGAAAATGACTCACAGTTTGACCATAAAAGTTGCCCAATAGTATAACAACTTTTGTGGCCTCAGCAAAATCGCCATGTGGCCAAGCAATTGACACTATAGTGGCTTGCGACTTAGGTGACGTGGTACTTTGGAAAAAAAATTCTGCTACGTGGCATTCAAGTGAATAATATTAAAAAGTATGTTAATTGGGTCAATGTCCCTCTAGGATACAAAATCGCACCTGCAACTTGACACACCTCGACTAAAAGGATAAATATTTGTATCTATCACTAATTGCATCCATTATGACCAAACATCTCTTGTAATTCGGTCCTTAAACTAATAAAACAACAAACTAGGAATAACTCTTCTAGGCTATTGTTTCGAACTCATAATGCAACTAGAATCCGACCCAACTAGCATCTACGAATGTTCAATCATTTACATACTCTATCCCTTTCACTCATTGACTTAAGCATCAAAATACTTATACAGGCACCACGTTTTTTATCCATTGAAATACATGTTGAATGTATATTAAGGAGACCTGGAAGCCACAACACAATTGGTTCTAAAAACAACATTTGAATGTATACTATATTAGTTTATAAAAATATGGTTTTAATATTTTGGATGAGGATTAGTTTAACACGTAAAGAGTGTAAAAAATGTTATAAGATTAGACAAAAGAATTAAGTAAAATAAAGAAGCACACATTAAACCATAGTTATTAAAACCGAATCGACCCAGCCGAGTCGACCCGGAAACCGGTAAACCGGTCATATAACCGGTCCGGTTGAAGCAACGGACCGGCCATGCATCAAAACCAGTGCGATCCGGTCCGACCCAGCCGATTTTTATGAAAACCGGTGACCCGGTCGGTTAACCGGTGACCCGGCCCGGACCTAAAAAAAAAATTCTAATTTTTTTTTCAATAAAAATAAATCATAATTGACATATTTGAATATTTTTTTGCTTATTGTCTTACATAATTTATGTACCTACAACACTAATATTATCTCAATTGTGCATTATGCAGAACATTTTGATTTGATTTATAGTTAGAGATGTCATTTTTTGAATTTAAAGCCCTGTATCACGATCATTATATTTTTATTTGATCCTTTATTGGATAATAGTATGTGATTTATTATTTTTTATATTAAAATATTTGAAATTTTTATTAGTTTTTTTAGATATTTGAGTATATTTATAATTTTTTAATATAAAATTTAAAATTATATATAATTACCGAATTATGCGGTTGAACCAGTAACCTACTGACCCAGTACATTGATCGAGCCGGTTTTAATAATATTGCATTAAACTGAATTAACATTTCAAAAAGTCATTGTTATGCTAAAATAAAGAAGCACACATTAAACTGAATTAACATCAACATTTGATTGTTTAATCTGGGTCACTTGAAATGTTCCCTACTAATTCTGTCCGGCCCACTAATGTATGAGCCCAACAAAGTCTCACTTTCACCAACTATATAATATATTATATTAAAATGACATAATTAATAATATAATTGTTATGGACTCATATATGATGCCCATTTAGTATAAAATCCAATAAGGGACAATAAAAATAAGAATATAATATAATCAAAGAAAAATATCAATTTAAAATATTAATCCTAATATAACAGCATCAAACTTGAGCTTATAGAAAAAGTACAAAATTCTAATACTCGCATGAAATTTTATAAATGAGAGGTAAAATTTATAAGTATGATTTATTCTCTCTTTTTATTGTTATAGTATCATTGTGTACATATATCATCCTTTAGCAAAAACCGTTCTTATTTATGTATAGTAATATGTTATATTCAAAGTATCTAATCTATAAATATAAATCCATGATAAACTTAGTAATCTTTTGACTAGTATGTGTTGATTTGAGGCGGTCTCCCAGCTAACAACCAAACCGCAAGCGAAGGAGATAATGATGAACGCATCTTTTCCACTTCTAAATAAATAAAATAAAATTTTATTTACATGCAGTTAATGTGATTTTTCTTAGATTTCCAATAATAAAGTCTAACTAGCAACTGGATCCGGTTGGAGAGTTGAATGAGCCGCAATAAAACTATGCATTTTTCATGCCAACGGATAAATTTTTAGTATCACTGTTGTACCCAAATATAGAGGTGTCAAGGTAGGTTATGACATGTGGGTCGATCTACGACATGACACGAAAATTCGTGTTCGGTAAACCTGTAAAAAATTCGTGTCGTGTTCCTGTTGATGTATTCGTGTTCGTGTTGACCCATATTTTTTTAATTATTTTATTATTATTTTTTTAATTTCGACCCATTTTTTTTAAATTTTTTGTCAATTACCGTTTTGACTACTATTTTGCGTGTTATTCGTGTCGTGTCGTGTCGTCAATCCATAAAAAATTCGTGTCGTGTTAGTGTTGAGGATTTTGACACGAATAAAAATTCGTGTTGTATTCGTGTTGATGTATTCGTGTCGTATCAAATTTATGTCGTGTCAACCTATTTTGACACCCCTACTCAAATAGGTACAACATTTTTCCACTTTGGGAATAAAGTGAAATGTGGCGAGAATATTTTTTTTTAAAAAGTGTTAAATTTTTTTCAAAAATGAAAAAATATTGTATCCATTTGAATACAATAGTAGTACCAAAAATTTATCGCACGGAGACCCTCCAAAACCATGCCAAGCTTACACCTCTCACGCTTTCCAAGTCAACACATGTCTTTGCTTCATTGAGCTAACATATGTCTCCCTCTACCGTGTTGATCCATCCAATAAAAAATATTGTGGAACATGTACATGTATACCTGTAGAACATTCCATAGGTATCTGCAGATAATAACAAAGCATGATAACAAAATCTAATTATGCTAATAAATTGTGGCTAATAGTAATTATAATTATTGCGTAAGGCACGTTCCACTTACCCCTCTTATAAATTATGCTAATAGGTGAACTTTTCATTCATTATTTACAATTTTTTTTACTAATTTAAGTATAGAGAAGAATTCGTTTATAATTTTTTTTATAAATTATATTAAGTATGATCAGTCATACACTCTTGATTGAAGTATGATCAGTCATGCTTTATAAACAAAAAATTTGTAAATATAACCCTCCTTTCACTCTCACTAATTATTTGGATCCTTATTATTTTTTTTTCAAAGTGTGACTTTTTTATTACCAATAAAAAAAATAGTTTAATATTTTCATTTCTTTTTATTCCCAAAACTAAAAAAAAACTAGGGAATAAATGAAACCGCTATATGAAGAAAGAAGGAGCGAGAAAACAGAATTTGGTACATACAGTAGCTGCAGGTAGCATCATGTTTAACCATATGGAATTGGATTTTCAAGCAAAGTTTGGGGTTTTTGGGAAATCCAATTAGGGTTTGCTATCAAAATCAAGAAATTGAAAAGAATTTCCTTCTGCAGAATCAAACCTGGGGAGTGAAGGTTCCGGGTTCGATCCTCGCTCCTTGTGCTGTTGCTTCGTTCGGTTCTGGCGCTTCCTCATGGCTGATAAAATGGAAATCGATTTACCTTCCGATTCCCAACCCCTCAAGTCACGAGATCGAATCGTTCGGGTAACAAACACTCTTTTCTGATTCTCATAGCTTTTGTTTTTTTATTGAAATTCACACTCTCAATGACTCGATCACTGTTTAGTTCACTCTACATTTGACAAATATAGGATCTTTATTGGTTAATTTAGCAGTTTTGAATTGTTTCCCCTTTATGCGTTGAATGATTCTTTTTGTTCATGAATGCAGATTATTGATTTTTTATTTTATTTTATTTTAGGGTTTGAGTTTTTATATTGAATTGCATGTTTGATGTGTGGTTGTTTTGCATGGTTTTCAGAGGCTTGTCCAGTTTGGGGTTCCTGAGGAGCAGCTTGACCAGCCTGGTTTGGTTGATTTTGTTAAGGATAAGAGGGATTTGATACCTGACCTGGTGTCTGTTATATTGCCTCCGGATGTGGAAGTGGCAGAAGCATTGCAAGATTCTAAATTGGGTTCGAAGAAGACACCTTTGGGTGTGACCATGAAGAAGAGGTTCCATGAGAGCATGGTGTGGTTGCAGTGGTTGATGTTTGAAGGTGACCCGAGTGCAGCCCTGAGAGGCCTTTCCAAGATGTCTGTTGGGCAGAGGGGTGTCTGTGGGGCTGTTTGGGGACACAATGATATAGCTTACAGGTGTAGGACATGTGAACATGACCCGACCTGTGCAATCTGTGTTCCTTGTTTTGAGAATGGGGATCACAAGGGCCATGATTACTTTGTTATATACACGGGTGGTGGTTGTTGTGATTGTGGGGATGTCACAGCATGGAAGCGTGAGGGTTTCTGCTTGAAGCATAAGGGTGCCGAGCAGATACAGCCTCTTCCGGAGGAATTTGCAAACTCTATTGCACCTGTGCTTGGTTCTCTTTTCACATGTTGGAAACACAAGCTAGTGAGTGCGAGTGATTCCATTACTGAAAGAAAGAAGGCTGCCAATGAGCTAACTTTTTCTGTGGTTGATATGCTTTTAGAATTTTGCAAGCATAGTGAGAGTTTGCTCAGCTTTATTGCCAAGTCGTTGTTCTCTTCTACTGGTTTATTGGGCATCCTGGTGAGATCTGAGAGGTTTTTAACTGATGTTGTTGTAAAGAAACTCCATGAGCTGCTCCTGAAATTGTTGGGAGAACCTATTTTTAAATATGAGTTTGCTAAAGTTTTTCTCACTTACTATCCAAGTGTTATAAATGAGGCCATAAAAGAGTGCAGCGACCATCCTCTGAAGAGGTATCCTCTACTATCCACGTTCTCTGTGCAGATACTTACAGTGCCCACTCTTACCCCACGTCTTGTGAAGGAAATCAACCTACTAACCATGCTGTTAGGATGTCTTGAAAGCATTTTCATTTCTTGTGCTGAAGACGGACGTTTACAGGTAATGAGTTATTTCATCTCTTTAAAGGAATACTACTTTGATAGACAAAATATTTAGATGTGGAAGAGTAATGAGTCTGTCTGGCTATCATCCTTTTAAATAATTATGAGTGATTTTTGTTGTGAAGTTTGTTAAAAAATTTATATTATTGTAATGTTGCTATACTTGTTACAATCATGCTTTTAATCTTCTTTCATGATGTTAAAGAAATAAAGAATCCATTTGCAGGTTTCCAGATGGGTAAATTTGTATGAGACGACGATACGTGTTGTTGAAGATATCCGATTTGTAATGAGCCATGTGGTGGTGCCCAAATATGTAACAAATGACCAGCAAGATATCTCAAGAACCTGGATGAGGCTTATATCCTTTGTGCAAGGGATGAACCCTCAAAAGAGAGAAACAGGTCAACATATAGAAGAAGAAAATGAGAATGTCCATTTGCCTTTTGTTTTAGGGCACTCTATTGCCAATATTCACTCTCTATTGGTAGATGGAGCATTTTCTGATTCTAGCAAGGGAGAGATGGATGATGAAAATGTTTGGAGCTCAAATAAGAATGAATCAGATGATGGAGATAACCTAAGACGTGCAAAGGTAGGGCGGCTCTCCCAGGATAGCTCTACATGTAATGTGACCTGTAGGAATAGTGTCTTTGCTTCATCAAAGGTTCTTGAGATAAAATCTGACGCCTCTTCTCAACTGCTTCTTCCACGTTCTGTCTCTTGGTTGATATATGAGTGTTTAAGGGCTATTGAGAATTGGTGGGGAGTTGAGAATACCCCTGGGGTGCTTCCTAAAATATTAGCTCCAAACAATGATAGTGTCTATGATGACAATTTTTCAGCATTTAAGAGAACAATATCTAATTTCAGAAGGGGTAAATATACATTTGGTAGGCTTGCAAGTTCAAGAGAAGATCATGGTAACAAATGCTCTGAATATTGCATTGATGACCTGGAAATTGGTAAAAATGCAGGGAAGGATGGTAAATTGAAAACAGATGGTGAAATTGATTCAGAAAACACCTGCATCCGTCCCAGTTTTGATGATAGTGCCATGGACGAAGATTTTCCTGTGGAATCAGACTGTCTACATTTTTTATCATTACCTGATTGGCCACAGATAGTCTATGATGTTAGTTCACAAGATATATCTGTACACACTCCGTTACATAGATTGCTTTCCATGCTATTGACAAAAGCACTGAGAAGATATTTTTGTGAATCTGAAGTGCCAGATGTCACTGATGTTTGTTCTACTAATTCATTGTCAACAATTTACACTGACTTCTTTGGACATGCTTTACGAGGAAGTCATCCGAATGGTTTCTCTGCCTTTATAATGGAGCATCCAATGCGGATTAGGGTCTTTTGTGCTGAAGTCCATGCTGGAATGTGGCGTAAAAATGGAGATGCTGCTTTACTATCTTGTGAATGGTATAGATCAGTACGCTGGTAAGTCAATTTTGAATTACTATATACTGTTTATAAAGGGTTGAAATTCATTCATTATATTATACTACATCAGTTCTTTACTTCCACAGGTCTGAACAAGGTCTGGAGCTTGATCTATTTCTCCTTCAGTGTTGTGCTGCACTAGCTCCAGAAGATCAATATGTCAGTAGAATTCTAGAGCGCTTTGGGCTATCAAATTACTTATCCCTAAATCTTGAACGGTCTAGCGAGTATGTCCTCTCCTGTAACAGGACAAACTTTTCATGCAACTATGTTATTTTGAAATGCTTAAAGATGCAGTATTATAGGAAGTTAATGGCATATAAGTTCTTGAAGGATATAATTATCTTCTGGATTGAACCATTATTGTTATGATGCTTTAGCAGCCTCGTTGGTCACTTCTTTGATGTTTTAAAGTTCTTTTTATTCTACACTCTGTGTATACAAATGCTCTCGAGTTTTAAGCTTGCTGCTGCATGAGATGCCTTTCTTTACCACATTTATCTTGTTTAACTCATCTAAAGTAGCATCATTTTGCATATGTTCTCCTTTATACAAAACTGATTGAAATTAAAGTCCTAGAATGCCTTCCTACATTTCCTATGGTTCAATTCATGGTCATACTGTAGAAAATATTTCTTGTAGGGTGATTATAAGATAAAGGTGCCAGATAAAGAAATTCTGGCAGAGACTTCATAGCATTTTTGGGTAAAATTGGTTTTGTCTATTGAGTTTGGAGAAATTTGTCTTATGCCACTTAACATGTCTTGGGAGAAGTAAAGAAGGCAAGGTCCGTCATTGTTGTGCTTTGTGGTATGTAGTGATTTGGTATCTGTAGTTAGAGAGAAATGTCAGAATTTTCAGGGATAATTTCTTGATGTTTCCTTTTTTCAAGATAAAGTAGTCTTGGCTACTTTGTTTTCAGAGGCTCTTCTGTGTTGGATAGACAAACATTGATGAGCTTCACTCACTATTCTTTTTTCTTTTTAATTTGTTTTTGTTGTTCCCTTTTTTTAGGGAAGATATATCATTTTCTCCTATACTTGTTTCTCTCTTCTATAAATTTCTGTTTAAAGAAAAATAAACTAGAATAAAAAATGCAATCTTATAATCCATGCGCTCTTCATTTCATCTTGCTGACCTAACTGAATCATTTACTGGTCTAGCTCATTATTTACATGATGTGTACACCTAATACACTGTAAATGGTTACTTTTGGAACTTTTGGGCCCTCCAGGCTCCAGTTCTTACTGTATTTTTATCTTGATCTTATAGTTGTCCTTGAGATATTGTCGTTTAAAATTGGTACCTCAAGGCTTGTCCATATCCTTGCGAATCTTAATTTATATAGTCTAATCTTATTTTAGAACCTTATGCAAATATGCATTAATTGAGTCACAACTCACAAAAACAAGTTGCTCCGCTTACAGTCACAGCCAATTCAATCATTCCCATAGTCTTCTAATTTGATTGTTGAATGCTGTGAAGAATCAACTCTCTTAAAAGCTTAAGTTGTTAAATCAAGGGCCATTAATTACGCAAGAAACCTTCAGGGCTTGAAATACGGACAATGTACAAGTGCACTTTGCCTTGTGTTGTGATTTAACTTTAGTTTTGAAGAATGAGGACAGCATTGATCAAACTCTTGATCACTTGGTTATAGAGGCTTTGATATTATGTTAAGGATCTATTCTCCTAAAAGCTTAAGGTGTTTGTGGATGCCATTGAATGATTTTATATCTCTAACAAATATGGAAAGTTTTGCTTGTTTCCTTTTATCTGAGTCTGACCAGGATCTTAAGATCTCGGATTAATGATATTCATATTTTACTTGTTATGTTTTGTTGTGCTAATGTATAACTCCTCCCATATTTTCTTGCAATTTGTTTGATCTTTTTATACGTAATTTGTTTAATAATGAATGCTTTCTGATTTACAGATATGAACCTGTTTTAGTCCAGGAAATGCTTACACTTATTATTCAGATTATAAAAGAACGGCGCTTTTGTGGGCTAAGTACTGCTGAAAGTTTGAAAAGAGAACTAATTTATAAGTTATCCATTGGAGATACCACTCATAGTCTATTGTTGAAGTCTCTTCCTCGTGATCTCTCCAAGTTTGAACAGCTTCAAGACATTTTGGATACTGTAGCTGTTTATTCTAATCCATCTGGATTTAATCAGGTCTTGTTGAATCTTGAACAAATTTATCACTTTATTTTGTTAGCTTGTATTTACCTAGCTTTTCACCTGTTATATCAGGGTATGTATTCTCTGCGATGGCCGTTGTGGAAAGAATTGGATTTGTATCATCCACGTTGGAATTCAAAGGATTTACAAGTTGCCGAAGAAAGATACCTACGCTTCTGCAGTGTCTCTGCACTAACTAGTCAGGTGCCCCAGTGGACCAAAATCCATCCTCCTCTGAAGGGAATAGCCAGAATAGCCACTTGCAAAGTTGTCCTACAATTTATCCGTGCAGTGCTATATTATGCTGTTTTTACTTTTAAATCAGCTGAATCCCGTGCTCCTGATAGTGTTCTTATACCTGCACTACACTTGCTATCGTTATCACTAGATATTTGTTTTCAGCAGAAAGGATCTAGTGAGAATACATGTCATGATGTGGCACAAATTCCCATAATAGCCTTCTCTGGAGAAATAATTGATGAGAATTCTTCTTATGATGGTGAACTAAGCTTGTTGTCACTTCTTGTTTTACTGATGGAAAGGCACAGGAAGGAAAATGAAGACAACTTTGTACAACCAGGTGGTTGCAGTCTATCTACTCTAATTGAAAGCTTACTGAAGAAATTTGCTGAGATTGATGACAGATGCATGATTAAGTTGCAAAATCTTGCCCCTGAAGTCGTGGGTCATGTTTCTGAAATTGTTCCAACTAGAGACTCAAGTGTCTCATTGTCGGCTTCTGATAGCGAGAAACGCAAGGCAAAAGCTCGGGAGAGGCAGGCTGCTATAATGGTAGGTTGCCGTGTGTTTTTGTTCTTTACGAAATGTTGTATTCTGTTTTCAGTCCTTCATGATTTTGTTGCAAGACAAATCTGAGACATGATGTTAATTATTAAATATTGAAAGTCTAGAATATTTTGAAAGATATAAGCTTTTCATATCTTTCAGGTGAATGGATAGTTTACAGGCTAAGGAAGGCATTTGGTTGCAAATGTTCTCAATTGTGCTAAACATATTTTATTTACTTTTTAATGAAGACAGCCTTGACCTGTTCTGTTGTGCCAATTTAATTGCCTTCAACATTTGAATCATTGTCTAAGTTTACTTGTTTTCTAATGCAGGAAAAGATGAGAGCCCAACAGACAAAATTTTTGGCCAGCATTGATTCTACTGTTGACGATGGTTCTCAACTTGGTCATGAAGGTGACTTAGACACTGAACATGATGCTGAAGAATCTAAACAAATTGTTTGCTCTCTTTGCCATGACCACAGTTCAAAATATCCCATTTCAATTTTTATTCTTCTTCAGGTATATAGCTGTAGCATGCATGCTGTGAGCTAGATAAAGTATAGGTTCTAGTTTGTTGCACTTCATTAAATTTTATTCAATGTTACTTATTTTAGCCCCTGGCTTAATTCATTCATTTTTTCTTTGTACAAGAAATCTAAGCTTGTGAGTTCCGTGGACCGAGGTCCCCCATCATGGGCCCAACTTCGCCAATCAGATAAAGAACACATGCCTATCATCAACACCAAGGAGACAGATACATTAGCTATGAACTGGAATTCAGGATCAACTTCTTCTTCCCATTTAACTCAGTTAGTTCAGAATGCTGCCAATGAATTAGCTTCTTCTGGGCAACCTGGGGAAGTTAATCTTTTTCTGCGATATGTCAAGAATCAATTCCCAGTGTTGGGAAATTTTCAGCTCACAGACACATGTTATGAAGAAAAAGAAAGGACGCCATATACTTTTGAGACATTAGAACGGGGTATGTATTTCTGCATTCGTGATGAAGTACATGATCTTATGTTGTCTTCTGATTTGATGAATGAGGATGAGAAGGTTCCAACTGCTGGAGGGAATCCAAATAATATAATAGATACTGGATCTGTATTGCTTGGGAAATATACAGCTGATCTTGTGAGAGAGATGTCGGAAAATTCTTCTGCATCTGAAAATGCTTGTGGGGAGAATGCTTCTGTTGAATCAACATCACAGCATCCAGCATATGATGGATTTGGTCCCACAGATTGCGATGGAGTTCATCTTTCTTCATGTGGGCATGCAGCACATCAAGGGTGTCTTGATCGATATTTGTCTTCATTAAAAGAAAGGTATGTTTCATTTAGAGTTATATACATAAATTACTATTTTTATGTTTGTGATCATTGAATGCTTCTTCTAGTCACCTTTATGCCTTCTCTTTTGGTTTAAACTATGCCAATATGTCCTATCCTTTTGAGATTAACCAACCCTTATGCAAATTGTTTTTAGTTGTCGCATTTGAGATATATTAAGATAAAAATATACTGGAAAAGACAATTTGTATTTATCTTCTGAACCCAAACACAGATTCAGATAAGGAATTACAAGGAAATTCAACAGAAATCGAGTCTCAATGGAGTACAATTAAGCAACTCAGTATAATAAAATAATAACCCTCAAATTACTACTACCCAGAGCATTCGAGAGGCTCTGGTTCTCTCCCAAATTCCAGCCTAAGCTCCAATATTTTCCAAGTGGTCCCAAAATGGAATAATTCCTTGCCATATGTAACCGTGGGTGTAAAGGTGAGCTGAGGCATGACTCCAACATTCCTCTAACCAACTGTTGACTCAGCAGTAGTATTAGGGGCTTGTGATCCTCTACGCCTCCTCCTTGAATACACCTTCCTGATTCTGACTGAAGCTGCCACATCATCCGTATCAACACTCCCTCCCAACACAATCACCTTGTCCTCAAGGTGGAAATTAGGGAATTGGCACTGAATAACTGTAAAGTCCTCCCAAGTGTTTTCGAAGGATGGTAAGGACTTCCATTTGATTAATACTTCAAGCCCTCCTCCTGCTGTATTCCTCCACTGCAACACATCTTCTGGTTCAGCTTGAAGTTCCCACTCTTCAGAATAAACAGCAGGCAATGGTTGTGATTGCAAATTAGGAGAGATTGCCTTTTGCAACAAGGACACATGGAAGACGGGGTGAATCTTGCAATCTGCTGGGAGCTCCAATTTATATGCCACTTCACCAATCTTAGCCAATATTTTGTAAGGACCATAGTATCGAGAGCTCAATTTTTCATTGATCCTTTTTGCCAAGGACTTTAAACGATACGATTGAAGCTTTAAATATACCACATCTCCTTCCTTAAAATCAGCTCTCTCCTTTTGGGTAATCACATGCCCTTGCAAGTCGATGGAGACTCCCCTGCAAATCCCCTGACTTGAAACCCGATGGCCATCACCTAGCTCAACCGAGTACTTTGGCGTCTTGTCAACTTGCAGATTGAATCTTCTGGCTACCTTGGTACCCACAAAGTTGTGAGAAGCACCGCAATCTATCAACACCACGACCTCGTTCCCTACCCTTCCCCACAATCGCATGGTCCGACTAGAAGAAAGTCCTAATAAACTTTGCATTGAAAGCTGCAAAGCCACTGTTCCACCCTCTATGTCAGAGGTGACAGCTACCTCAGACTCCGTGACCTCTTCGTCTTCCTCTCCTTCATCAACCACGATTAGATGGAGCTGTTTGACTGTACATCTATGGCTGGGGTTCCACTTTTCGTTGCATTTAAAACAGAGTCCCAACCAGTGCCGTTCATTCAGCTGAGCTTGCGTTAGACGACGGCCATCGCTGCGGAGAGTGCTACTTGACGAACTCTCAGCGGTGCGATTGGTCCTTATTCTGGCGTTAGAAACGCTAGGGTTCCCTCTCTCTGTGTTGGACGCTCTCGAAGCTTCGCTTGAAACGGGCTTAACATTTGATAAACCGGGTAAGTTATGCTGACCTATATTCGTAACCCGGCCCATGGAAAAACCCGTTCCATATTTGCTGGACTGGGCCGATCTATTACCCCAACTCATTGTATTGGGCCCACCCTTCTTTGCCCAACCCTTCAGCCACCCATGCCTGGTTTCTTCTTTCAATCTTCAAAGCCGACTTCATCATCTCCTTCAATCTGGTGGTGGGGTGCATCAAAAGTTCTTCCCTAATACTATCTTGTAACCTGTTTAACCAAATGCCTCTGAGAATCTCTTCATCTTCATACCTGAGTGGGCTCACCACTTTTTCAAAAGCTTCTCTGTATTCCGCTACACTTCCAATCTGTCTCAACGTTAGTAATGGACAAAGTGGATTGTTCTGCATTTCTGGTTGGAATCGACTAAAGACCTCTGAACGGAATATAGCCCAAGTGGTGTTCATGGTGTTAATCTCCCACCATTGATATCACTTCAGGGCCTCTCCTTCCATGGCTAAGAGTACCGCCGGAAGTTTTTCGTTCTCCGTGAATCCATTTACCACGAAATAGCGCTCCACTTTGTTGAGCCACCCATAAGCAACTTCACTAGAAAACATCGGTAGTTCGAGCTTCCTCGTTTGGGTATCCACCATGGTTGGGCCTCCTCCATTTCCTCCATGACCACGTCCTGGGTTCCGGTTAGTAGTGTTTTGGAGAACTTCATCCAACCTCCTAATAATTTCCACCAGTCCTTCTTCCGTTCGTCGTATTCTCTCGGCTAATTCATCATATCGTGATTCCATACTTTTGGTCACCACCATCCAAAGCCCTCCCGGATCGGAGAGCTCTGATACCAAGTGATAGGATTTAAGATATATTAAGATAAAAATAGACTGGAAAAGACAATTTGTATTTATCTTCTGAACCCAAACACAGATTCAGATAAGGAATTACAAGGAAATTCATAAGAAGTCGAGTCTCAATGGAGTATAATTAAGCAACTCAGTATAATAAAATAATAACCCTCAAATTACTACTACCCAGAGCATTCGAGAGGCTCTGGTTCTCTCCCAAATTCCAGCCTAAGCTCCAATATTTTCCAAGTGGTCCCAAAATGGAATAATTCCTTGCTATATGTAACCGTGGGTGTAAAGGTGAGAGGCGTGATTCCAACATTCCTCTAACCAACTGCTGACTCAACAGTAGTATTAGGGGCTTGTGATCCTCTACGCCTCCTTCTTGAATACACCTTCCTGAATCTGACTGAAGCTGCCACATCATCCGTATCAGTGTCTTGATCAATATTTGTCTTCATTAAAAGAAAGGTATGTTTCATTTAGAGTTATATACATAAATTACTATATTTATGTTTGTGATCTGTTGAGATATATAAAATCATTAATGTAGCCTCTCCCAACAGCTTAAGCTTTTGGGTTGAATTGGTTCTTTACATGGTATTAGAGCCTCGGTGTATCTAGTTCGATCCTCACCGCCCCCTACTTTCTTTCTAGTGGAATTTCTTTCTACGCACAGGGAGGTGGGCCTGTGCATCATCCACCCTTTAAGCCCAAGGGGCTTTCGTGTGAGGGGGCGTGTTGAGATATATAAAATCATTAATGTAGCCTCATCCCTAAAATTGTGCGTACCTAATGGACCTATTATCCTCCGATAAAAAAAAATTCAACAGACTTCTGTTTCAACTTCGATCCACTGCCAGATCGGTAATGATCCCTTCTTTGCAATCATTTTCTTTCTCCACTGCACATCTCCAAGGCATTTTCTCCCTCATCCGTGCATGGCTCAGCCAACTGCCACGACATCTACGAAGATTATTAAACAACCATCTCACCTAAAAGCTCAAGCTATTAAGTAAAGGCCACTTTAATGGTTTTATATTAAACTTTTCTAACACACCCCTTCACACAAGAGCCCGTTTGGCTTGAAGGGTGAATAATGCATAGGCTCACCACCTGTATTAAGAAATTTCACAATTAAATATTTATTAGAAGAATGGGGGAGGTGAGAATCGAACATGTGACCACTTGGTCACTGTCTCTCTGACACTGAATTAAACAACCTTTTCACCTAAAAGCTTAAGTTTTTTTAGTGAAGGCCACTGTAATGGTTTTATATTAAACTTCTCTAACAAAGATAGAGGACATATTTTGTTTGTCGGATATTTAGATGCCTACTGGGCAATTTCTTATGTTGATAGATGATCCACCTCTTGGGTTGTGTACTCCAGAGAGAGAGGTTAATTTATATCTTGGAAAGTAAGAAACATAATGTAGTTGCTACTTGCAAGATCAAGGGTTGAAGAGGATCCTCTGCTATGGCATTCACCACTGCCGAATTCATCTGGCTAAAGCAACTTCTTTAGTAGCTTCAATTCACGAAGACCATGCACCGACCCTTTTTTGTGATGACCAAGCTTTACTGTATATTGGCTGCTATCCTGCTTTTCATGAAATGACCAAACACATTGAGTTAGATTGTCATTTTGTCGCTAGAAAGATCCAAACTGGAGACTGATAAAATTAGACCCTAATTGTAGTAAAAAGGATGGATCCTTTATTGACAGGAACCCACAATCTTTTGATCAGTTGATACTGATCAGAGATCAAGAACGCATAGGACACAGTACAAACTCTCTTCGAAGAGATCTAGGCTCTCTCTTCCATTTCCACTCCAAGTCTCAAACTGATCTTTCTTATTTCCCTTCAATTATTTATATCTTGTCATACCATGTCATCTCCCCCTCTAACTAACTATTTCGACTTACTAAGAGAAATTGGCCCACTTTTGATTGGGGTTCTACTAACAATACTCCATCCTGAAGTTTCACCTTGTCCTCAAGGTGAAATTCAGGGAAATTCTCCTTCACCCATGATCCTGCCGTAGCCTGCTGACATAAACTTGGAGAGGCTTAGAAGTTGTCTGCACATTCGTATCAGAAACACTGGAACCCAATGAATAAGTGTGTATTCTGGTTACCATATAGAAGAAACCACCAAATTCTCTATTTCTTCCCCTGATAAGAGATCTGGCAGGTCAGACCAAATTGATAGGAACCCAAAAGCAGATTGAGTTTTCAGTGGGAGAGTTGAGAAAAACAAAGAAAGGAAAAGAGAAAGAATACACCTGTAGTGTTTATTGAATCACAAAAATAGACCAAAGGAGAAAAATATACTTCCAAGGGTTCCCCCTTCACAAAGGGTTCCCCCTCTCTTCAAAAGAGCTAATGTTTTGTGCCCAAAATGATAAGCTGATTACCTTCTCCTATTTAACTGCCTAACTATTCTAGTTAACTACTTTCTGGCTTGGTCATTTGATTTTAACAAGCATTTTTGGAGACTTGGGTGTGCCCTAGATCCTTGGACCATTTTTTGATTATTAGCTTCACTGGTTTTGGGAGAAGTAGAGGAACCAAATTTTTGTGGAAAGGTGTTGTCGATGCTGTATTTTGGTGCATATTATAGGAGCATTATTCTTGTATCTTTCGGGAGAGTTCTTTGGTTGGGCAGCTTCTTTGGGACAAGTTCAGATTTGGCTTCTACTTGGTGTAGAGCTCATGATTTTTTAAAGAGATTTCCCTTACAGATATGTTGAGTGATAGAGATGTTTTTTTTATTGATTAACCAAAGAATATACAATGCAATAGAAGAAAAGAGCCTAGCTCCCAGCTTTGAGGAATCCCCCAAGCCCCTGCCTCATGGGGCACATATCCCAAAGTCTACGGATATCCACATTCCTATTTAAAGAGCAAAAAACCAAAACAGAAATTTGAAAGGATAAACTTAAAATTATTTACTTATTCTAAATAGGAGATAAAGATAACAACTTATCTCCTTATCCTAAGTTCTAAAGATAACAGCTTATCTCCTCCTCCTAAGTTCTCTCCCCTCTAACTAGCCTAATCTACTAATACTGAAACAGATTGAAAGGAAAACTGAAGACTACCTAACTAATTATCCTATGATTAAGTGGAGTGGGTAGCTTTGCATCATTGGTTTTTTTCCTCTGCTTTTTGTATTTTCATTTTTTCAGGAATATTTCTTATCCTCGTATCTCTTTGAAAACATCATTGTTTTATCTTGATGGCGTTCTTCTTTTATTAAATAAATAAAAAAAAAAATCATAACAATGGAGATTTTAAGCCAACGGAAGTTGGATCATGTAGTCCACCTTTTGCTTGTGAAAACAGCATGACTTGGGTTAGAATCCTGAAATCCTCTGTTAGTAGGCATTTTTTAATATCACTATAACTCCTCGCCGAGATTGATGGCCTTGGAATCGGGGAGAGCATCCCCTTACCCTGAATTTTCATGTACCAGAAAAGGGAGATTTTAAGCTCAGTCAGTCATACATATGATTAACTGAGTTCTTCAATCAAATCAAATCTGATGAATCTAATGGTACGTGGTCATATATATACATAATGCAGAAATAGTTAATAGATTGGAAGTCAGGCTTTTTCATGATGGAGGGATTGGTATTTTGTAATTATGACTTAGTATATAAGATGCCTAATATACCATATACTGCTTGAACAGATATGTCAGAAGAATTGTTTTTGAAGGAGGACATATTGTTGACCCAGATCAGGTATAAGTTTGTTATGATATCTCTATACTCTTTTCTCCCCTCTCTTGTCCTTTTTGAATTTTCATTCTTTTTTTTTTATATTTTTTTAAAGGGAGAGTTTCTCTGCCCAGTGTGCCGCCGACTTGTAAATTGTGTCTTGCCTACTTTACCTGGAGAATTACAGAAGCCTCTCAAGCAGTCTATTGTCTTGAGTACTGGTTCAATACCTACTGCAGCCCCCATAGCTAAATTGAGCGAAGTGACACATTCACTTCACCTTCAGCAAGCCTTGAAGCTCTTGCAATCTGCTGCCAATGCAGTTGGAAAAGATAAATTCTTAAAAGCCATTCCTTTGCATCACATTGATAGAACTAGACCAAATCTTGAAAATTTCTCTCAGGTGCTTTCTAAAATGTATTTCCCTGGCAAACAAGATAAGTTATCAACATTTGCCAGACTAAACCATTCAATACTGATGTGGGATTCTCTTAAGTACTCCTTGACGTCAATGGAGATTGCTGCACGTTGTGGAAGGACTACTTTAACTCCAAACTTTGCTCTTAGTGCCATGTATGAAGAACTCAGATCTTCAACTGGCTTTATATTATCTTTGTTGCTGAAACTTGTTCAAAAGGCACGGAGTAAGAATTCTCTTCATGTACTTCAAAGATTTAGAGGTGTTCAACTCTTTGCAGAATCGATTTGCTCTGGGGTTTCCCTGAATTATGCAAATAATGATGTATCTGGGAGAGGTATAATTCTTGTTCTAAGTTTCTATTGATTCAAACACAAAATGATTTTACTTATTTAGCATATTTTAATTTTCGACCATCTTTTAAATGTAAATATTATCTTGTTCAATTTGGAAGGTGTGGCTTGTTGCTCATGATTTGCTGTTCTCAAATTGCAACAGAAATCCTGTTCACATTTGACAATTTTTTTTTTTTTTTTTTGGTTTCATATGATAAATTTTTCCTGGTGGTAAATTTGATAGGGTTCAAAGTTGTTTTCTACTGCTGTGTCAAAATAGAAAGGCGTTCAGCCTAATTACTTGTGACATGAATTTACAGAATTTTGTTTCTTCCTTTTAATAAACCTAAATTGGGAAAAAGTTATTCCAGCAACTTTATCGGTGGTCTAAGTTGCATCTGATCTCATAATTTAATCATTTATGTGAATAATTGTGATGATCCATTTGTTTGTGTGCATTGCCTGCATGCCAGAAATTTGCGTGAGTTTATTCCCTCAGGTTTTTATTTTAATTGTATAGCAAGTGTTTTTATCTACTACTGATTTACTTTTTTTTAACTGCTATATATTCACAGGTGATATGCTAACTATCTTAAAGCATATTGAAAAGGACTTGTCGAACACTGACATATGCTTTTGGAGTCAGGCTTCAGATCCTGTACTTGCCCATGACCCTTTCTCAACGTTGATGTGGGTTCTGTTTTGTCTACCATATCCATTTTTGTCATGTGAAGAATCTTTGTTATCCCTTGTGCATCTTTTCTATATCGTAGCTGTAACCCAGGTTGGTCACCTTATTTCCAACTTAATTAATGATGTGTTCTCTGATAGTGTCTATTTCCTAATCTATTTTTCCTATGGGTACAGGCTATAATTTTGTATTATGAGAAATCTCAGGATAAATCATCAAGCAAGTCAAGTTTTTCAGATTGCCTGATTACTGACATATATAAAGTTATGGGTGAATCTGGATGTGCTCTGCAGTATTTTGTGTCAAACTATTTTGACCCTGGTGTTGATATTAAAGATGCGATTCGGAAGTTTACTTTCCCTTATTTGCGAAGATGTGCATTGTTGTGGAAATTACTCTATTCTTCTATCCCAGCACCATTCTGTGATGGGGAATATATGTTGGATAGATCGTGGAATGTCCTGAATGACACCATGGACAGGGCCAATATTGACATGTTTGAGGTCACAAAAATTCAAGAGCTTGAGAATATGTTTAAAATTCCCCCTCTTGATGCGGTTCTAAAGGATGAACTTTCAAGATCTTCAGTCTCTATTTGGTGTCGTCATTTTTGCAAGGAAATTGAATTGCAGGGAATTCAACGTCATATGCATATAACACCTGCAGTTCCATTTGAATTGATGAGATTGCCAAATGTTTATCAGGATCTTTTGCAGAGGTACTTCTAACTATTATATTGTTGTGTAGGGTACCATATTACTTTTTTTATTCATACAAATATATATACGTAAGCAGGTGTATCAAACAGCGCTGCCCGGAATGCAAAACACTTCTTGATGAGCCTGCATTGTGCCTACTGTGTGGTAAATTGTGCTCCCCTAGTTGGAAACCATGCTGCAGGTTCACTTCCTACCAATTTTATTGTTAGGATTACAGTTTATGTTTAGAAATGCATTTCAGCATTTAAAGTTTTGTCTCATTCTTAAGCTGTACTACAGTGATTAATTACAAGCTTGATTTTAATTATTTTCATTGGGTTCAGATTCAAACTGATTGGTAGCTGCAATATCTTTAATTTGAGCTTCGAACATAAGTTTGTATGCTTGAATATATTTTCCACTTTTTGCAGATCTTTCCACTTTTTTCGTTGGCCATCTTACTATCTTAGATTTCTTTCAAGTTTTACGGCATCCTCTAATCTAGAATTAACAAATGTGATAAAGACTCAAGGTAGATTTAGAAAACAGTAGTAGCATTATAGGTGTGAATTATGTTTGTCAGATGAGTTTTTCTTTCTGGCGGAAATTGCCTTTCATGTCAGGAGTTGCAGACTGAGTCTGATTGTGAAATTAAAAATTAATAGGTGTACATGATTCAACGATGTTCGGATGATTAGGAATTGCAAGGAATTTCTACTTTGTATTAGCATATAAATGCTTTGTAGTTAGTTTACTTCCCGTATTACTGTTACTGGTAATTAGCTTTGTTGTTGTGTATTCGCTTGATCATGGTGTGTGCAACACCTGATTAGTTCTCTTATGGTTAGTTTGTTATTTGTAAATCATTACACTGCCTCATTGCTAAGTCAACTCTTAGCTCTATAAATAGAGCTCTATGTGCATCTGTTTGCTACTTGAATAATATCTTCAGAAATTCTCAAAGCTTTTCAATGGCTTGTCTCTCCTCTCTCTCTCATTCTCTCTCATCTTCGTGTTCATTTCTGTTATGGTGTCACAGCCTTCAATCTGAATGCCTGATCCATACCGAGCCAAACCATGTCTTCCGCATCAGATTTACCTTCTTCTAATCGAGAATCATCGCATGCAAATCGAAGTTCAGGAGGATGCTATGGAGGATGTAATAACAGAGGAAGAGGCTGTGGAGGAAGATCAAACGTTTACTGTCAGCTCTACTACAAGTTTGGGCATGATGTAGACTTGTTGCATTGGTAAAGCCCAATCGTTTACCTTCATAACCCTCAAATATTGTTTACAATAAACCTTTTGAGTTGATATATAGTGATTTATGGGCCCTGCACCAGTAAAATCAATTATGGGGCACCTGTACTACATTTCCTTTGTGGATGCCAATACAAGGTTTACATGGATATATCCTTTGAGACAAAAATCTGAGGCACTTCAAACCTTCAAAAACTTTCACTCTCTAATTACAACTCAATTTCAACTCCCAATTAAATCCATACAAACAGATTGGGGAGGGGAATTTAGATCCTTTGCACTATCTTCTTCTTCATGGAATTAACCATAGAAGAGCATGTGCACACACCCATAATCAAAATGAGGTAGTTGAGAGAAAACATAGACACATTGTTGAAACTGGCCTCACTATGGTGTCATGTGCTTCCCCTACCAATGAAATATTGGGATTATGCCTTCATCTCTATTGTTTACCTTATAGTTGAAAAAGAGATAATCTTCAACATCAACTACACCTTTAGCCCAAATTAATTGAGGTCGGTGGTAGATGAACCCAAATAAAAGATACGAAAAGGTTGAAATAAAAATAAATAAATAAAATAGTAATAATATATATATATATATATATATATTTAAATATAAAAGTAATAAAAGAAGGGGAAAAGAAGAAGAGTGGGAAATAAAGAGGAAAAGGACTAAAAAGGGACCAACTGGAACATAGGAATAACAATGGGTCTAACTCTTCACCATGCTTATAGCTCTTCTCCATTCCGTTCTAAGGCACACCGTCCGCCAATCTATATCTCACTCTATTAAGTCTTGTTTTATTACCTTCCCTCAAGTAAGCTTCGGTCTACCTCTACCTTTCTTTGTGTTGAGCTCTTGACTTTTGTTCTCACGGGAGCATCCAAGGGCCTTCTCATTACGTGCCTAAACCACCTCAATCTATGTTCTCTCATCTTTTCAGCCACCGGTAGTACTCCTACCTTTCGTCGAATATCTTCATTTCTTATCTTATCCAACCTCGTATAACCACACATCCACCTTAACATCCTCATCTCTGCTACTCCTATTTTATGTTCATGTTGCCTATGTGCTGGCCAACATTCAGCTCCATATAGCATTGCAGGCCTTACTGCTGTTCTATAGAATTTTTCTTTTAACTTAAAGGGGATTTTGCAGTCACACAAAAACCCAGATGCACTACGCCTTTTCATCCTCCCTGCTCTGATTCTATGATTTACATTCTCATCAATCTCTCCACCTTTTTGCAAAATGGATCTCAGGTATCTAAAAGCATCTTTCTCGGGTACCTCTTACCACTTAGATGCACGGGATCTTGGTCTCTATTTAAAGAGACTAAATAACGTAATGGGCTAAGCCCAAAGAAGATTCTAGAATGGAAATAAATAAATAAATAAATAAACAAATACAATTATTTACAACACTCCCCATCAAGCTGAGGAATAGATATTTATCATTCTCAGCTTGCTAGTAAGCTCTTGAAACCTTTCTGAGGGAAGTCCCTTTGTCAGTATATCAGCTAATTGACGTCCAGAAGGGATGTATGGAATAGTGATCAACCCGCTATCAAGCTTCTCTTTGATAAAATGGCGGTCGACCTCAATGTGCTTAGTCCGATCATGTTGAACTGGATTATGAGTTATACAAATGACGAACTTATTATCACAAAATAGCTTCATATGTACTTCACATCTTTATTTTAAGATCACCAAGTATAATTCACAAACGCCTTCAGCCATAGCTCGAAATTCAGCCTCAGCACTCGATTTGGCAACCACGTCCTGCTTCTTACTCCTCCATGTCACTAGGTTACCACAAAGAAACATACAATAACCAGTGGTAGATTAACGATCAGCTACGGACCCAATATAATCAGCATCGGTATAAATTTCTAAAAAGAGATTGCCATTTGATAAAAACCCTCCTAAAATAACGCTTTATCGTAGGAAGTGCCATAGGGGATTATTTGGTGCCATTCTGTTATATGGGGGAGCTGAGTCAGCAGATGATGTTGTGCATGTGGTTGGAAGAGAGAGAATGATACACGAGGGAGTGCATCCTTAAAGGAGGAAAATACACAAAGATTGGTATCTTTGGGAACTAGGACTTTGGGCACCTTCTTGGTGAATGGGAGAGACCAGGAGCTCTATAATTCCCTTGGACTATCTTTAATATTCTGCCATTCAATTTTATTGTAATTTTGTTATATTGTTTCAAATCAAAATACATTGCTGTTAATTGTTCACAGAGATACAATTGATAGGATTTTGTTATCGAATTAATATAATTGCAGAAGTATTACAAAACTACAATAAACTAGTATGCAGCCTGAAGACGCAGCCAAAACTGCGTTCCGTACCCACGAGGGACATTACGAGTATTTGATTATGCCGTTCGTACTGACTAACGCCCCATCCTCATTCAAGCACTGATAAACGAAGTATTGAAACCTTTCTTGAGAAGGTTTGTGTTGGTATTTCTTGACGATATACTCATCTACAGCAGGAACCGAGTTGATCATTTGGAACATATGAGGGCAGTCCTAACAGCGTTGCGTAGTCACAAATTATTTGCTAATAAAAAAAAGTGTTCCTTTGGCAGTGAGCAAATAATGTATCTCGGTCATGTGATTACAAAGGATGGAGTGATGGCAGATCCTTCTAAGATTACAGCAATGAAGGAGTGGCCAGTCCCTAAAAACATCAAGGCCTTAAGAGGTCTTTTGGGACTTACAGGCTATTATAGAAAATTTGTGGAAGGGTATGGTAAAATTGCCAAACCTCTTACTGACTTACTCAAGAAGGATGCCTTCCAATGGAATAATGAGGTGCAGGCTGCTTTTGAAGAGCTGAAACAGAATATGTGAGTTACCTACCTTGGCCTTACCTAACTTTGAGAAGCCCTTTGTGGTAGTCACTGATGCTTCGGGGAAGGGAGTTGGAGCAGTATTGATGCAAGATGGTCGCCCGTTGGCATTTGTGAGTCAGGCTTTCTCTACTAGAGCCCAAGGGAAGTCAGTATACGAAAAGGAACTCATGGCAATTGTGTTTGCTATTCAAAAATGGCGTCCATTCTTATTGGGGCGTCTTTTCATAGTAAAAACCGATCAACGCATCTTAAAATACTCGTTGGAATAGTGAGGACTAGGAGAGGAACAACAGAGATGGATTTCGAAACTTTTGGGGTACGATTTTGAGGTACAATATCAACCGGGTCGAGCTAATGTGGTAGCCGATGCTCTATCAAGGCAGATGCAGTTTACTGCACTTACCACGGTATCGCTGCCATTGTTGGAGCAGCTGGAAAATGAGCAGTATCAAGATTTAGGCTTGAAGGGAATCATTCAAGATTTATTAATAGGAAGCTCTGCTTATTCGGATTACAAGCTGCGGGATGGGAAATTGCTATACAAAGGAAGTTTAATCCTTCCTTGCACTTCAGGGTTGATTCCTCTATTACATAAGGAATTCCACGAGTCATCATCAGGTGGGCATTCTGGTTTCTTTCATACTTACAAGAGGCTTGCGCAGTTGGTGTTTTGGCAGGGAATGAAACGCGCAATTAAGGAGAATGTTGTTGGGTGTCATATAAACCACCAAAAACCACTCCCCGTTAAATTCGACTAGCGAGTATGTTGCTGGGTGTCATATCTGCCAACAAAATAAATCTTTTGCTTTATCCCCAGCCGGTTTGCTCCAACCACTGCCCATCCCATCTCAGGTGTGGTCTAATATATCAATGGGTGGTTTACGTAAAGCAGGAGGATTTGATACAATTTTTGTGGTGGTTGATAGATTATCTAAATATGCCCATTTTATACTGCTATGTCATCCTTATTCTGCACCTGAAGTTGCTGAATTGTTTGTGAGAAATGTGGTCAAATTACATGGATTTCCTCAATCTATTGTTTCTAATCGCGATATAGTATTTCTAAGTCAC